AAAAACCAAAAAAAAACCAAAAAAAAAAAAAAAAAAAAAAGTTCAGATCTAAAATTGCGCCCAAAGCCTCATGTGTTTGGAAGCTGATTGGATGATGGTGGGGGCATTTTTCCTTTGCTGTTGGGATGCAGAATCTGCTCTGAGAAGATGGGTGTGGTCTGTGGTTTTTAGACCAGTAAGGTGTGGTCTGAAAAGCTTTCTCTCTCTCTCGCTCTCCCTTCTGTCTCTACTGCTTACCACGAGGAATCCAGCTTTCCACTACGGGACTGTTTCAGCATGCCACGTCTGCCTATAGCTGGCCCACCACGCAAAGACTGAAGCTTCTCAAAATGTGAGCTTGCCACTATGATCTTGGCAGCATGAGATCACACAGAAATACCGAAAGCTTGAGACATCTTCAAGTGAGTAATCTGTTTAGATGAAAACCTCTGCAAAGTTGCCTGGACCCAATGTAGACTTCATATGTATAAAAAAGTACATTTTTGTTTCATTAATCCCTGGGTCTTTAGAGTGTTGTTTGTTACCATAGCATTTTCCAAATTCTACCACGTAATGTAGTATATGCGAATGTGATTTTGAGAAATACTTACAGAACGCTTGGACATGGCTTTGTACATTTTTATTTCAGGTAATGGGGACTGAACTCTAGGCCTACTCCCTGAGCTACATTCCCAGCATCCACCCCTCCACAGTTTTGTTTGTAAAGAGTCTCACTATGTAGTTCAGGTTGGCCTGAACTCACACCAATCCTCCTTTGCTTAACCTTCTCAGTGCAGCTATGCCAAGCAAGATGCACTCTTATTGGAATTTTTTTCAATAAGTTTTCTTGCCAGATTATCACAAATATGTCATTTATTGTAAGAGTAGACCATTTTAGATGTAACCTTAGTTTTATACACATCTTAAAATGATCGTTCAGTAAAACTGCAAAATCAGAACACTGCTTCCAATTTCTCCTCAATATTTTGGAAAGTTTAAAACACACTGCTCTGCAATGATGAATTTCTACCATTAAAATGAGAAATAAGAATTAGAAATACAGCACATTATGAGAGCAATTGCCTAGCATGACCTAGGCCCCAGATTCAATTCCCACCATGATAAAAAAACAGCACCGAGCAGAAACTGAATTTCTCTCTTTTAAGAAGTTCAATAAAGTAGAATTGGATAATCCAAGGAATGTTATCTCTTTCCTTCCTTTTGAAGACAATCAGAATTTTCTTCATTCAACATGGTGCTTGGCCTAGGAGAATAATGATTGGCTCTGATCAATCATGGTAATTTTATTTCCTTCTTCAGGGACTCACATTCCCAACTATCTTGCACAATCACAAGGCAAGTTCTGGGAAATGAGATGCACATAAGAAAATGTAATTTTTTTCTATTGACAGTTTCAGGACAGTGAGGAAAAGCTACTTCAGACTAACCCTTGTAGGTGTCATTATCACCACATGCTAAGAAAACCCGCCAGGACCCAAGGCCAGTGTCATATTAGTTCTGGAGCAGATGGATGGAAAAGTCTGAGTTTGGGGAGAAAGCTTTAAGTTAGTGAATGAAATAAAGAACTGCACATCTTTGAGATTTTTTTTGTGTTCTATAATTTAAAAATTTTACTGCATAAGCCATCTAGTTGGTTTTTCTGTTAACCTTACAGCCAAATATTTACTGTCTCATAGCATTCTAGTCTCAAAAGAGAGCTTGGACCACACTTTAACCATTACTGGTGATTAGTATAGTGCTGGAGAGTAGTTGCAACTCCTTAAGTGTTGTGTGAATGATTTATAAATACGTACTTGCTTCATGTTTATGTAATTCATATCTTTGAAGTTAATCACCTGTGATCACACATCTGCTTGAGTCTCCCATTAGTTTTTTTTCTACCTGAGAAAATATTTTCAATATTAGATTGAGAACCAGACAAACAATTTCTCCAGAACAAAACCAATAAATTTCCTTTTCTGCTTTCTTAGACATTTCATCCTTATTGTGTGCCTAACTTATTTCTAGTTGATGGGAAGGATAAGTATTAGGATAGATCAGTGAAGGGTTTGAGCATCGAATATCAGTGAATGAAAGTCAACAGAAAATGACAAGTAGAAATCTCACTTTATCTGGGTCCACCTTATTTAAGGATAGGATTTATAAGCACATTCTTGATACCATTAATTATTTATTAATACCAGTGGATTTAAGGCCATCAATTAATACTCTGCAAGTACACTGGATGAAAAGGTGTAATTCTGCACTGTCAGATGATATTTGTCTAACCAAGTTGGCCCACAGTGCAGCTATGTATTCTTAATCTCAAGATCTGTCCAGAATAGTTATTTTCTGCCTCCTGTGACTCACTTTCTTCCCCTATCCCCATTACCTTCCAATTTTTTTTTTTTTACTTCTTCAGCCATCTTAATTTTCTTCTCCAAATACCACAAAATTCCATTAGCTGTAAAGCACTCCTCATGAATAAGGTCTATATTGACACTTTTTATCCTTCAGAGGATGTTTGGCAAACCTAGACAAGAGGTCATAAAGGTAACATAGACAAACGTTAGTTTACACAATGTTTAATCGTATACTCAGCTTTACGCTTCACTCTCCAGTTACTTAAAAATTAAAATGCTAGTCTAGTTGTATTTTTTCTCATTGAGGCATTGTAGAAACTAGAACAAATTACCCGAATTATTTCAGATTAATATTTACTACGTATAAAATTAAATATTGATACAAATATTGACTAGGAATGGCAAAAAAGCAGTGAAAAATGTTGTGTGGAAAACGAGATTAGTTCCTCACTAATCTGATAAAAATGCAACATTAATAGCCTGGCAAAATATAGGTTTTTGAGTCATTTGTGTAAATGAAATTGGAAACTGCAATTATTCAATGAGGAGTTTCTTGAAAACTTCTACATCTAATATTGCCTCAGTTTTCCTGATATTAATTCATAGGTTCTTAGTCATGTTCTCTTGAAGTTCAAACAGTAATTGAAAACTGCACAAAATTTGTCATCTTAAGGTGAATGCTTTCATTTCTTTACAGTATTTCTCAGAATAAATAAATTTCTCTAATAATTTAAAAACTTTATCACAATTTTGAGCTATATGTAATTACTACAATTTGAACATTGTTTAGATTCTTCTGGAAAAAGTATTGACTGGCAAATATGTTTGTGTCTCTTCGCTTTTGACTTTAAACACAATTCCTGGAAAATTTTGTGAAATCCTTTCACTCTTTCACTAGCATGGTTTTCTGGAGAAAGACAAAGAAGAGATATTTTAAATATAAATTTATTATGTGTGTTTGAATCAAGTAACATTTATAGTGAAAGCTTTAGATGTTGTGAAATGGTAGACTTCATGAAGTAGACTCATAAACTTGGTATCATCTGAGATATCTAAAGTGAAATGAAGATAAACCTTGGGCATTCTCTTTTAGACAGTTTATTGAATATAAATACATGAGCAGTCAAAGCTTGGAATTTATGAGCAAACTTTTTGCTTTTCTGAATTACACTTTTTTTAAGTTGCTAAAAATAATAGCTTCATACCTCTAAGCATTCTCAGTCTCTTTTTTTCCCCCATAACTACAGTTTTTGTTATATTATCATTACTCTATAGTCAGTTGGTGTTATGGAGAATTCTTCCATGCAATAAAATACGTTGCCTTACTTGATGAAAATAGTAATACTTGCTCTGATATTTTGGAATTGAAAATGGGAAAATGTCCCCCCACACACAAACAGACCCTCTTGGAGGGTTTTTTTTTTTTTTTTCATCATTATGATTTAAGAAAAGACCATTTGTTAAGTTTAGATTTACCAAAGTGAGCAGTGGTAATGAGGGTACAAAATTCTATCAAGAAGTATTCTCTTGCCTATCAAGGGATATTTTCCATTCTGGCAATGAATTGTAAGTAAACAGAACAATTTACTGCTTGCTTTCTTTTCCTATGTGGTACACTTGATACAAGAGGCAGCATAGTGAATTTAAGATTTCTATTGAATTTAAGACACTTTGATGGTAATATAATTCTTCTACACACAAATTTTTCCAATGGCTGCAATTTAAGCAACAGAGATGATTTTGTAAACAAAGAAACTTTACTATAAGTGATGTTAGAAAACTGAGGTACTACACTTAAAACAGAAAACTTACTTTTCTCACCGAATAGTATTTGTAATTCTAATAAGCTTGGTTGTCTGATTTCTGTTAAAGAGTAGAAATTGGTAATATTATGGTCTAGAACATTAATAATAAGTATAAATCACCTGTCAACAAAAGAAATTGATAAAAAACAAGAGAAATTCATATATGTGTGTATGGGGTTTATGTATACTTAAATGTATACATAAATGTCTGTGAATAAAATATAAATTTAAAAAATTGTGTATTCAGTAAAATACGTATACCATGTACTTGAAAGTCTTGAAGACCACACTGCATAATGTATAGTTTATTGTAAATTACTCCATTGAAAATTCTCAAAAATCATTTTGGTATGCCAATGTATGAGTCTACTTGAAAACTCAAATACAGTGGAATTTTGAAATTTCTTTCACTAGGCAATTTTGGTGACATTTGAATTTTTTAATTGTTGCTGAAAAATTTATGCACAATATGACTTCCTTCTTCTTTAACTTTTCCATATGAAATTGGTGTCTATAGATATAAAGATATATAGACAAAAATATTTTAATGGATTCCTCAGAAATTGTTTTCAATGAATACCCACAGGGTTGGTTAGTTGTACTTTGTTGGTAAGTGAAATACTAATAATAAAATGGAATTTTGACAGAAGACATAGAAAAGACTATATGAAAATTAAAATGAAGCAAAAGCCAAATTTTAGTGAAGGAATTATTACTTAAGTGTAGTCACATTAATTGCAACCAATCAGCTACTACAGTGCAGCAGATAAACATTAAGAGAGAAACAGAGAAACTCTAAAAGTGCTTTTTTAGAATTATTTGATTCTACTTTTGAGACTAGAAGCCTGATTGCTTAGAAGAAGACCCTTTCTAGTATAACATGGATCAAAAAATTTTTGGCTAAACACAAAAAGTGCAATTTATGAAAACTTGTACGTAAATACAAAAATGTGAATATAGTGGAACCTTAACACATAGCAGAACTAGCGTTTTTCAAGTAAAGAGAATGATGGAAAGCAAGGAAAAAAGATGCCCCGTTTCCTGAGTAGTTAAGATTTGGCACTTTCAGGAGGATATCGGGCCTAAATATTGACAGTGTCCTGGGAGGAGGATTGATTAAGAAATTCTGGGAATCAAGCAGGTGGGAAACTCAGATCAGAAACATTTGTATGGCTCTCAAAGACTTCGTGGGTGAATAAAGAACAAAGCAGAGTGAAACGATAAATTTTCATATTTCTGATCCACAGCCCTGGGTAGATCAGGGCTGAGGGAAAGGAAACATATCTACTGAGATTTCTTAGTAACTGTGACACTACATTTTTTCTGGTTTGGGCCTTAATTTAAACAATCTCAATTATCACCAGAGAAAATTTAGTTTACAATGATTCTAAAGCAGTATTGGGCCTCAGGACCCGGCAGAAACAAATGCCTCTAATTTATAGAGAAGGAGTGGAGGAAGAGAGATTTAACTAACTTATCAAAGGTATTCTTGGAATTTCTCTACCAATGGGAACCTAATAATATAGCCTCAAAATATAAAAAACAAAGGTTAATAATACTGGAAGATAAGCTGACCATTTCACTTTCACGCTTAACAACTTTTTAATATTGTTCTTTGATAGAGATTAAAATCATTAAAGATATAATATAACATGTATTATTCTGTTAATATTTTAATAATGATAAAATAAATAGAAATTATATGTTCAATAACATAAATGATTAAATAAGAACATCAGTAATTTAATGTCAAGATAGAGAACACATATTTACAAAAATTCTTGTGTTCTAGATCTTAACACAAATGTCAACAAAATTCAAAAAAAGAAACACACACCTTTATTTGTACGGATAATAGTTCACTGCCTTTCAGAGGATTAATGAACAGATTAAATGCAACTCATAATGTAGCTAAAGAGCAGATATGAATTGTTAATGTTTTCTTCGTCCATTGATACATCATTTTGAAGTCCTTATCTGGTATATTTTGGAGGGTATTTAAAATTTTTAATTTGAAAGTACTTCAAATTTGAAGTTAAGTATCTAGACATGTTTACGTTTATTTGCTTCTCAGATGCTTCCCGGAGTGTCACGTGAAACCTCCGTACAGTCCGTGCTGGCAAAAGGACCCGGCATCTGTAGGCACAACAAATGATGAGTTTATATTGCAAAAAAAGGTACCTACTTCCCAGGATATAGGTTTTTTTCTTCAATGATCTTGCCCACCTACATAACTCTTCTAGGAGTCCCAAGAGTTGAAAGTGCCTTTTCAATCCTCATACAGCTACTTTTTCCTCTATCCTTTTAATCTCAACTACTCCCATCAAAAGTTGTTAAGTGTAATTTTGTAGAATTGTTCTTGCAATACAAGAATTGCAATATATGGCAAAGCAAAACAAAGCAAAACAAAACCAAACCAAACAAAAAAACGCTTTTAAACTCAAGGTCACTTTAGGGTTGGATCTGCTTGCTTTGAAATTACATTTTTTGAACAACTTTTGGGTATATTTTGTTACCAAAAAAGAGTGATTGACAGATCAGCGTCAAACATTGTCTAGTGTATCTTCCATCTAGAAATCATTTTTTCTTTCTGTTTTAACTGATGTGGCTGATAGACCAAAGAAAGGACTTCTGTAATCAAAGGAAAATAGAATGCTCAGACATCACAGAAAGTAAATGAAACTTTACTCAAAATTGAGAAGGCAATAAAAAAAATATAAAACTGCCAACACATAGCTTACTGAAAGTCAAACAGTCATCTTCAATTGCCCTGCTTTGACAAGAGCAGAAGTAAAACTCTATACATGTAATTAGAAAACAGTATGTATTCAATGTTTAAATTTAGTTCCGTGCATCCCAACCTTACCCAGGAATAGAGAATTCCCCAAGTGTCATCTGCCTGCACAGATGGTAGAAAATTTAGGAATTAACACCAGCAAATTTCAGTACTGAGATGTCAGAGTGAGAGAAGCTGGGGTAAGGAAGGAACCCAGGTGTTCTGCACCTGGGAAGAAGCCCTGGGAAAGGAGGGGTCAGTGTGTTGATAAAGGGCAAGTGTCCCGCTAAAAACAGAGATCTATATCAGCAGGTACCCTCTTTGGCTTTATTTACTGAATATTGCCTGAAACATTTTAGGCATTTAGTAACATTTACTGAATGGATGAAGCCAGTTATTGGTTTTGCTTGGCAAATCAGATCCTACAGTGGTGAATCTAAGATACTTACCAAATTCTTTAGTAATAGTTCTCAATGCTAGTATTATTTTCCTGTTCATGTCACACATAACACTCTCTATGGCCTCTAGAAGAAGTATGTCTGAAGCCAAAGGCACTTGTTTCCTTACTTCTTTCAATACAAGAAAATAGTTGGGAAGACAGATTTTTCTCTGTGAAGACAGAGGGAAGGGTAGAAAATTTGGCCATAGGCCAACGGATATCTATTTTGTCACAGTGACCACTCTGTGGGCAGTGGGACAGGTTTCACAACGGATTCAGGGAGGAAAAGTTGATGAGGGTTTAGAAAGACAGTTTAGTTAAATGAATTTAAGCTTTGTAGTCTTTTTATGCCTGCACGGAATTTCACATTCTATGCCTTCTCTGTTACTTGCATTTTGTCTTTGTGCTCTTGGAATAACAAAGCATATTTTATTGTTGGTAGGAAAGAGGGAGGATTTCAAAATTTGTATACTCTACAGAAAGTTGTGCCACCAACTATTTCATAAGCAAAACAGGAAAAAGTTGTGTATGAGAAAATAATTAAGGATTTCCATTTAAAATTTGGGAAAGTGATCTCCATCTATTCCTTCTCTAAGAAAAGTAATAAGGTGACTTCATTTAGAGCCTACATTATTCCCAGAAAGGATTAATACGGCTTTATAATGACTTTAAAAGGATCTTTTCTACCATGCTTTTGTTACTAGCTATTGGAAAATTTTGTCTGTTAAAAAGGTAACTTTTTTGTGTCAAAATCTGCAGCGATGAGTAATCTAAAGGTGTTTCTAAGAATGGAAACCTGAAATTCCAAGTTGTTGAGGTGAGAGGAGGTCAAACTGAGTTGTGATCCAAACAATAGTATTTTATTTTATTTTATTTTATCTTATCTTACTTTTTTTTTTTTTTGAGACAGAGTCTTACTATGTACTTCAGGCTAGCAGTGAACTCACTGTGTTGCCCAGGCTGGCCTGGAATTTGCAGCAATCCTCCTGCCTCAGCCTCCTAGTGCTGGGGTTACAGGTATGTACCACCACACTCAGCCAAACAATAATGTTTTAAATATGAGACTCATATCTCCAATTTTACATTTCTGAGTAACACTATTTAGGGTCTGGTAATTTACATTTTAACTAAAAGAAATACCAGATAGATTTAATAAATTCTCTGGGTCATATAATTAAAAGAAAACATACAAATAGAATGACATATAATTAAAAGAAAACATACATAGACATTGCATGTGTCTATGACAATAAAAATAATTTTGGCATATCTGCCCAAACCTATTCCTTCTGATAATGTTTACTTTTAAGAAATAAATTATGCAAGTATCTTCTGGAAAATATTGAAAGAAAAATTTTCAAGCTAACTTGAGTTCAGGTGGTGATACTTAACTTTGTTTAGTACATAGATTGAAAGATCATCTATGCTTAATGTTTAAATAATTTAGCATATTTATAGAAAATAAGAAATGGCACCCAAGGAATAATGATGAATTGTCTGAAAGCTCATCATGTCATAGGAGATATTTGTACAAATATTTATAAAATAAAAAATGTCTTTAATAAGAAAGATAGGGCAAATAAGAGCAGAAAAGAGTAAGATTAAGAATCTTACAAAGGTTAGCATTTTCTAGACTGTGAAGGTTGAATGGATATAGGATACGTGGAGGTAATAGCAGTTTAAGTGGTGGAAGGGAAGTAAGAAATCATGAGAAGAAGGCTATATTTTCCAGGTGACAAATAACATGTTTCTGAGAGAGTTTTCAAAGGAGATAGGAAGAAATTTGTGAAAATATTGTGCTAAGTTCCGTGGGCTTAAATTTTATTTTTAGAAACACAGGGTAAGGAGGCACAGCTTAGTCAATTAAAACGATATTGGGGGATTGTGAATCTGCTAGCGCAGACTGGAAGGAATTTAGAGGAGGAGCCTGGAGCGTAACTAAGGTGTTGCGGCAGTGATGATGGTGAGATGGAAAACATCCAGCGACTCACACAGGCACGGTACAGTAGGACAGACAGCAGAAAATGCAAGGGCCATGGTGTGCAGAGAAGTGACAGAGCAGGTGTCTCTAAAGAGGCAGGTCCCTCACAGACTCAATGTGATATATTTTGTCATCTTGGCTACTGTCTTTATGGACTTTCTGTCACCAAAATAATGCGGAATATTGAACATCATCTCTTGGATAGAGTAATGAATATTTAAAGCCACTAGTTCAAACTAACCCCAACAAATACAACGTCAACAGTAACAAACCACCTTAACTGTTTATGCTTCTCTTTAGAATATTTCATTGTTGTGTTTATGGAGGAAAGCTAAGCTTTTGCACTATTTTTACATGAAGATGCATATTTTTGGAAGTTTGTGGAAATGAAAGGTTCCCGTAGGCAAATATCTATTATATCCAGAGAACATCTGTTCCACTTTAGAAAATTAAAGACAGCAGCCTCAAGGAACACAAACATCTCATTTCCCGAGAAGCCAAGCATATGACTTGATTCTCAGAATGAATAATTTCACAGAGTGTCAATTTTAAATTTTAAAAACTACATTTGTTCAGAATAACAGAGAATGCACAAGGACACCAAATGACTTTAGAAGGATCCCGTGATTTATAGTCACCTCTGTATAGGTTTCTACTTTATTGCAAAAGCTTTCCCATTTAGAAAAAAACTAGAAATATGTATTACAAGATATCTGTCCATACAGTTAAATTAATTCAGTTATTTTAACATGATTACTTAGGAAAGATGCAAAATATTCCTTGGGCCCCATGACTACAGAGATATTAGAAATATAAATATCTTTTAGGTAAAAACTCAAATGAGAGTAAATAAAAACTAAAATAAATCATAATTATTTTTGTTGAAATAAATATTGGCCCTAAAAATAAAACCAGCCTTTTTATTTACCTCTGTCCTATAATTTGGTTAGTTTTAATTGCTTGTAACTTGGTTTCCACCACATGGACTATGGATGTCAAAAAGATAATAGTTTTAAGTACATCATAAATCTTTAAACATCTTAATTACTGTTTATATACTAAAGATATATATGCTTATTCATAAAATAATTATTGAGGTGAGCTGGGGTGGGAGAGGTGAAAGGAGGAATGAAGGAAGCCTTCATTTTCCAGTGGGAAGTGGGAAAGTTATTTTCCCAAGTCAAAGGATGGTACTTAATCAGTTTGTACACATCGAGCTCATAATTATTTCTGATGTAAAAAATGGCTCTGAATTAATAAATCTATGAGTACCGAGACTTACAGAGAGGAGTTCAGGGTTGTTAGTATAGTTGAAATGTGAGCCTTGTTAATATTTCCAATCTCATTTTCTCTTTTTTTTTTTTGCTTATTCCTAGGGCTAAAACTTTGGTATCTCAAACCAGAGTCTATGAGTTTGGCCAGGTCATTATCTCTTTGTATTTCATTTAAATTTTTTAAGTCTATGTTTGTGATATGTAATGAATATAGTCACTGTGGGGAGTTGGCCCATGTACATGTCGCATATTGATCCTTTTTACTCCTTCTTCCCTTGTCTTCCAGCCATCTCCCCCCATTTCCACATCCCCTGCCTATCCGCAGAAAGTCTACCTCCTTGTTACAAATCTAGTTCTCACCTTCCCAGCCTGGTGCCTGCAGCTCTGCTATGTTATTCCATCTCTCCTTTAATTGCAATGCCATTCTGAGAAAATTTGCCTCCAAATCTAAGATCATTGCTCTGGATCCCCTCCTTCTCTTGAGCTAAATTCTGTAAGTTTTCTTTTATTAACACTTTGATATGTTTAAGTATGTTCTCCTCTTTTTCTTTTTTTGGTACTGGGACTGAGCTCAGAACCTTGCACTTGCCAGGCAGGAGCTGTGCTGCTGAGCTATATCTCCAGCCCTAAGCATATTTGAAACTGATTTTTTTTCATATTCAAATATTATTCCAGGCATGTTATTCAAAATTTCCATCCAC